AATTTCCAAAGTATTTGATAGCTGAATTACGTCACCATAAATTCTGAAGATTCGAGCATTAGGTTTGTCAGAAAGTTCGTTAAGGTCGACAACTAAATCACATTTAAAGATCTTAATTTTTGAAAATTTAAACAGAAAATATTTCATTACTAATCATGTAAGCAATAGACAAATAAAAAATATTATCAACGCCATAAAATTAAATAAGCTTTTATGTATTCTTATTTCAATTTTAAATAGATTTAATTATAAACCTTTAATACAACACGAGCAATCACAATAAATACCTCTACATCCGTCAGCGGTGATTCTGGTTTCAACGGTGGTACTTTAAAAATTTCTAGCAAATTATCGTATGTTTTCTTCAGTCCATTGTGAAGAATTTTTATTAGACTCCGTCATAATTGCTTAAATTATAAAAATTATTCTTTCGTATTTTTTATACGTACTATACGTTAAGGTGTACGATGCGTTATAGCAATGTACGTAGTTTTAAATTGATTACTAATCGATTTGTTAAAAATCACGTGATACAAATAAAATACTACAATGCTTATTTTTTTAGAAGTCGTTATTGAGACAAATTATTGTTACATCAATTATTAACTACAAATATTACCGTTACATATATGATTCAAATGATCATGTTGCACATGAAGCATTCGATCGTTTACATTCATTCGTTGCAATTCTAATCTCTTATTATCTATAATGCCACATGTTATAAGCAGTTAGTACTATCACTATACGTGTTTGAAAAACAATGATTTCGCCAGGCATTTTGCCTTCGCCAAAACTCTATTACCTGTTACGTACAAACGCCAAATTATATCGTATCCGGATATGTGCGGTATATTACGGTTATGCATAAATACGTAATCATCAAATAAAAGGACCTTGTTTAGTGATTTAACACATCTAGTATCGTACTGTCATGATAGATAAAACGTTTTCTTTCTCCCTCTATAAATTACTCGATGAATTGATGTTTACGAGACAGACTTTTGTACTAATTTTGCTAACTACGAAAATTGGGTTTCAATCCATTAAACGACGAAATAAGTGTGATATTTTGAACACGATCTATAAATTCGTACATTGATAATAAAGCTTAAACTTTATTAAAAAATAAACAAAGATGCGTGTGCAATAATTGAAGATAAATTTCTTAAATTATCATCTTTGTGATTCCATGAATATTCTACGTACGTACGTATGCATGGCGCCGAAACTGCTACAGAGAATGACCAATTTAGCATATCTTCAACGAGTTTGTTGATTTTTATTCTATATAAAGTATAGATGGGTGACGAAATTGACGAAACTATAAGTGACGAAATTGACGAAATAATTACGTCGTATTTCGTCAAATTTCGTCAAATTCGTCAATTTCGTCACCCATCACTAATATAAAGTGATTGAGGTCTTTTAGGTATGTACACGTTCGATATAAGTCAGTCCTTAGAACCTTATTATAATACGTACTTCAGAATTAAATAACAGGCTATCGTTCTATGATGAATAAGAATTATGATTTTTTTTTTAAGAAGTATGATACATTGGTATTTGTTTGTGTTGAAATTTAAAGGAACTGTATTAACATATTTTATTTTCAGTTGGTGTGGACGGTGAACATTATGTTGGCAAATCTTGTCTTATCAAGAAATTTGCAGATGATGATTTTGAGAATGGAGAATATAAAGAAAACTTTCATGCGTATGTCACAACCACACACATTCGGTTAGATGAGTACGATATTAAAGTAGAATTTTTGGAAACTGGTATTAACAATTATCCTTATAATTAGTATTTACTATTAATTGAATTTTACGGTTACTAATCGTTATTCAAAGTTCAACATTTGCAATTTTATGGCAAATGAATTATTAGTTTAATCTGGACATACATATATCCGAATTTTTAACATGCCATAAAATAGTATATGTAAATGGTTGATCATATATAGTTAATAGAGTAGGAACTGGAGATAGAGTAGGTGAGTTTGAGGCCTCATCACAAGGGTTTTGTAGAAATAAAAGTAGTTCTGTAGGAATAGATTCAGAATCATCTGAGCATGTTTCATTGTTAAGTATATCATCTGTTCTGTTAGTAAGTGTTGGTGAGAATATATTAGTAATGTCCATAAATCTGTAGAAGAGTGCTTGGTTAGATCTAGATCCAGAGTTGCTTAAATGATTGTTAGTAGATTGATTTAAATTGAAGATTGTTCTGGAAGAAGTAGGAGAAGTATAGGAAAAAATAGATGTATTTGTTTGTGATTTTAGGGGAATATTATAAGAGTCATATATAGATAGAACATAGTAATTAGGAAGCATTTTAGATTTATGAGATAAATAAATGTATGTTTTTGTTTTGTTACTATAACAGTGATCAAGGTATAACATGTAAGATACTTAGCATTGTTTTGTGTAAGATGTTGTTTAAAGGAGTTGATAGTTTGTGGTTCTCTTAGTAGAAGAAGTTTGTAATAGGCAAGAAATTTGTTATAGTATATTTTCAAGTTATAGGAGTCTAATGATGTTGGTGATGACTTGGATGAAAGTTCTTCTGAAGGGTCGCTTGCCGTTTTATACTTGGTTCTTATAGCTGCAAAGGATTCTATAGTCTGTCATATACGTTTGGTCTAATCATCATTATCTTAGTCCTCTGCATAAAATGGACTTAACCACCTGTCCACTTACATCATTCTTCTCTAAAAATGGCCTACATAAAGTGGAGGATATCATAATTTTAAAAGTGGTGGCTGCATTTATGTATTCTTCAGAAGAATGAGTTACTGAAAAGGATTATATGAAGTTGTTTTTACTGAGGATTGTTGTGTATTATTATGACTAGAATCTATAGCTTGATTGAGATTAAGATTTGTATTGGGTGTGCTAGTGTCATTAAAATTAGCATTAGTCATAAAAATATCACTGTCAGAGTTAATTAGAATTTCTGATTGTTGGTGGGTCTATGAATTGTCCTCTATCAAAGGTGTAGAGGTTTTAAGTATGTTTGCATAGCTAGTCACAGTATCAGTAGTTTGGGATAATGTATCATTATTAGGTTTTAGTATCTCTTTATTAGGTATTAAAATTTTGGAAGGTGTAGCTCATATTGGTCAGAAAAGATTCGGTTTAATTTGTGGAGTTTTAAAAATGACCTTGAATTTGGAGTGTATAGTTTTTTCTACTTTTGGATAAGCTTTTCATTATAATATTTTCAGACTTCACATAGAGATAGTTTATTATATGATTTACAAATATAATAGTAGGTAAGTACTCAGGCAAGGAAATCAGTATTTGTAAGGTTTGAAGCAATTTTGTTGATAACTTTATGAGAGTAAAAACTATCAAGTTTATCATTAGTGGCTGCAGCAGTTAGCTATTCATTGTAGTAGTAATAGAAATAATAACTTTCACGAGTATAGTCAGATCTACTTGGTTGAGTTCCATACATTTGGCTTCTGCTTCATGAGCACGTTTGTGCAAAAATGTGATAGGTGTAGGCTTGTGGAAAGTTGCAGGGTTTGCTTGGTCTTTTCTAAATTGGAGTAGATAAAGAGTAGATTGTACGAGCCTAGATTTGGATGAAATATTAGAAATAGAAGCTAGGTAGTGCTTAAATAATTGTTCAAAATAAAATTTTGACAAGTTCTGAATATTGTGTTTCTTCTCTGATGGGAGGGTGGAACAGCCTTAAACAGTACAAGTATAAATATAGCATAATGTAGGCCTACTGAATAATTGATTATGGGGGCAATTAATTGCAATATTTCGAACTCAATTAATTGATTGATGGCGCAGTCATAATTGGTCAATTAATTGCAA